CGAAAATTCAAAAATACAAAAATGAAGTATATTACCAAGTAACCCAGTGAGAACTGCTTGCCTATCATTTTAGTTCAAAATACAAGAAGTTTTATTCCAAGCAAGCATCGCAAGCCCGCTAGGTTAATTTCTGCTGCTTGCTTGGAATAAAATTTCTCATATTTTATATTAAAATGATAGGCAAACAATTCTGTAAAAGCACTGGCACTGAACGTTTCGCTTCGTGCAGTCTATTTTGCAACTCTTTTTAAAATATGTCAATCCCGAAAATCTCGGGATTAGGAAAACTTAATCCCGAAAATTTTGGGACTGAAAAGTAGTCGGGATCCCGATTTTCGAGATCCCGGGATCAAATCCTCTAATCCCGGTATATCCGAGTTATTATTACAGAATTTGCTTTTAGCCCTAAGTATAATTAAATTAATAGAAATATCTATAGCCGTGAGGGAGATAATACTAAGGGCTTATCACCGGGGCTGTGGAGTCGCGTATAAATCTACCGACTGCACAGCCCTGCTTATCACACCAATGATAACGGGCACAAACGCTCAAGAATCGAATTAAAAACATTTAATAACGTCACATTATGACGCGACGTTAGGAAGAAAATTAATATTACTCCCGTCTACATTGATAATGCTTACTGTTCATACAGTCATGGCGACGTTTTCATCTTTATACTGTATAGCTTTAGGCATAATTTTAAGTTTAATTTTTAAGTATACTAAGACCTCTCGTTAATACCGCCTTCCAGAAGCCCAAGCCCGCGGCACGCCACCGGTAAGAGCAGTTTTCGTTTTGTTACGCGATTTACGTATTTTATTTATTTAAATCGATTATTTTACGGCCTTTATTTGGATTATTTTTAGCTTAAATTACGTATTCGCCCTTCCAGTTTATGGAAACGAATGCGGTGGGGGACGGCCGGAGGATTACGGTAGTTTCTTTTTCGTTATTTCTAACGTAGAAAATCGATGCGGACTTCCGCCGCCTACCGGAATCCGTCGTTCGGCACCGCCGTATTTCCCTCCGAATAGCCCAACTTTTCTTCCTTTTGTTTCTCGCTCTTCGCGCCCGGCGGACCACAAGAGGTCCTTTCCGTACCCCGTCCGTCGGGTTCGGCCCCCGCCAAATATTTTCCACCGCCCGAATTTCTTTCCGGGTTCCGTACGGCCGTTGCTCTCCTCGTTCGCCGTATGGGAAAAAAATACTCTCGGAGGATCCGGACCCGAATCCCCTTCCGGACGTACCCCGAGGTGATCGGCGGACGACGGCTTGAAACCCGTACCTGGCCGACCCGGAATAAGAGGGAAAAGGTCGAATAAAATTGGCATTTGTTGGCCAAGGTTGACGAAGACGAAACTAAACGTATAGAAACGAGAACAAACTGTCAGTCGATGGAATTCTAACACGATACGCGCCTTAAACCGGGTTTTCCCATTACGTCACCCGTCGCGCTTCCCGACGTCCGGAAATTTAATTCTTCGATTAAATTAAAGTTACTATTTAAATTCTCTATTTTTCTACAAATTTATATTGACGTAAATTTTAAAGTTCGGAGGGCGCTTTTTTCGACTGCGTCTTACCAAACGGCCATAAAACGTTCGAATACTGACTTTAAACCGGGCTACGGACGGAGGCTCTCGGGCAAAACACGGCGGTCGGTCCTCCCGGACAAAAGAATTTAAAAAACTTACGAAAATAACCGGACTAACGGATAAATAATCTAAGTTAAAATTTCAAATCTACCGTTTTCGCCAAATATTTCCGGCCTAAGCCGCGCGGTCTTTCTTCTAAACTTTGCGGTTTAGAACGGGCCACGCCTAGCAATTGGCACCCCTGCCCGACGATAACCGTTGTGGGAAAAGATAAAGCGTAAATCAAGCGCGCGCCATTACGTAAAACTATTCCTTTCTAATCGATTCGAACACAAAACTTTGTCCGGTATTTATGCCTTCGAGTAAAATGGGCGCGAATACCGCCATGGACGGGATTGGGAAACGGTTTCCTCCGGCGCAGCCGACCCAGGCACGAAAAACGCCAGACGCTTACGCCATCTAGCGATTGTTAAAAGAACCAACGAACGACCTTCCCCACGGTTAGTCGCGTTGGTCGTGGCCAGATTCGTCCAATATTTCCATTGACGTAAAATCCGAAATTTCTGCCGGGACGGTCTCCCGAGGAGTAAATAAAATCCACCAGAAGCGCCGACGTCGGTTAGAGGTTGGAACGGTTCCGAGGCCGGGAAAATTCCCTCCTTCCCTCTCGCGGTTTACAGATTTTGCGGCCGCGGAACTCGAAGGCCTCTCTGCGCTTAAGAAGTCGAGCGAACCCGTGGACTCTTGCGGGGACGACGACCGCCCCTTTCCAGAAAAGACGCCACCGACGGGAAAAACCCGTAAATGCCGGGCGACCACCACCAGAAACGCTTCGGCCTTCCACCTAATAAATTAAACCCGGTCGTCCCACGTAATCGTTACCGGTTTTAATATTTTCGGTCCTCCCCGGATATTTCCCACCCCCACTCGTTACGTCGTACCATCGTCCTCGGCCGCCGCCCGGCCCGTCTTCCTCTCCCTTCGCCCGTCCGTCGACGTTACGGACGAAAAACCGTCTCTCGCCTTAAAAAAACCTGCCTATTCCCGCGGTTCCGTCTTCATCGGCTTAATTTCGGCGGCGGAAGAACGACCCGGTCTACCGACGGCCGATGACTCACCCCACTCCCGGGGGAGAACGGTCCGGAGGAAGATTAACGCCGAGACCCGCATCCCCGTCATTTCCTCCCTCCAGAAGGGTCCCTTTCCTTCGACCTAAACCGACGTCCCCTCTCTTTCCCCGGCGATCGATAGGACAGTCGTCTGACGGCCAAATCTGCCGGCGTTCCGTTCGAACCCGGCAGCGCCACTCTACTTTCCGATCTTTAAGCCGGACGCCATGACAGGCTGCGACCCGTCGACGCCCACCGCTCGGGTTCCGGGAGTGGAAATTTCCTGCGGCCGTTCCGCGCGCGCGAGTCGCTGCATTTAGAAATTTTTCGTTTCCCCCCGCTCGGACCGCTGGTAATTATTGCCTTTTTTCCCGCCGGAAGGACCTCCGACTCCGGTCCGTCCATCGATCTCCCGATCGTTAAAACGCTTTCCCTTCCCCGCATTACGTCATCGCCCATAAATCGTCGCGGCTCTTTGTCGGGTCCTTTGCGTTTCCAATCGGTGGAAATTGCACGCGCCGGCCGACAGAATTAACAACAGAAACGAATAAAACTAAAACAAAGGGAGAAAAAAGAAAAGGTTCCGTCCCGGGGCCACCGGGTCCCGCCTCGCGCCCGTTTATCGATTTCTCCGGCGGACTTCCCGGACCCCGGCGCCACGTCCGTCGGGTCGAAGACCGACGTCGGGCGGCCGCGCGGAACGGCCGGGCCCCGATCGGGGATAAGAGAGCTGTGAAGGCGGAGCGGGCGGCCGCCGGGACCACGTGTTCCGGCCGATCCGGCATTCGACCCCCGCCGCCCGCCCGACATGGACTCCGCCGCCTCCTCTCCCGGCCCCGGTGGAACCCCTCGCCGGGCCAAACCCAACGCCTTCTTCTGCACCGTCCCCGACGCCGACGACTGCAAGTCTCTAGAAATGAGCGACTCTCCTTCCCGACGACCCTCCGGCCCCGTCCGAGACGGACCTTTCGACGAGACCGTCCCTCCGCCCGAACTGGCCCAAGAAGTGGAGGCCCGACCCTGGCAACCCCCCGACCAGGTGAGTCCGTCCGGCCCGACCGCGGCCGCGGGCTTTTCTCCCGTACTCAGACGCCGTCACGTGACCGAGCGGAATCGAGGCCGTAATCTCGGCGCCGCCGCTTTCGAAAACCTCAAGATGTCGGGCGACTGCCGAACGCGATCGCAGGTGAGTCGTTCGAAGCGGAAAACCTCCCGTCTCCCTCCCCGGGCGGGCGGCGGCCACGGCGGAAGGAAGAAAGGCTTCTCTCTTTCCTCCCCCGTCGTCCCTCGGGTGGAAACCGTCGGACCGCGACTCCCTCGGTCTTTCGTCGTCTGGCTGCTAAACGCGCCGGAACGTTCCCGTCGTCGGATCGAAGGAGGTCGACGACTCCTCGGTCGCACCCGCGAGGAAATTCCTCTCGCTTGCCGGGTTTAGGCGTGGGTTCGAGTTATCGCGCGCTAAGGCAGACGCCGCCGGAAGTGGCAGCGCGTAGTATCTTCCGGCGGACGACCGACCAGAGAACTTGGGCCGCCGCCGGGGAAAACCGGAAAAAAGCCGAGGCGGGAAAGAAAGGGTTTTCTACCTTGAACCGGGAAGAAGCGCGTCGGCGCCGGCGCTTTAGCGGGAGACGGCGTCGGTCGACGACCGCCATCGACCGGTGGGGCCGACGGGGGGCGGGCGTCGCTCGGACGGGCGGCCGCCGCAGTGCGGTTCGCCGACGGCGAGAGCCGAGCGGCGCCGGCGCGGCGCGGACGGGGATGCGCGTTCCGGGGCCCGGTACGGCGCGCCGCGGGTGTTGGCCGCGCTCCAGGCCGGTCGGCGCATCGACGCAACCGGGTCTTTCGTCGCAGTGCTCCCATCGCAGAGACGAAAATGGCCAAGACGCCGGGAGGAACGCCTGTGAAAAAGGTTCCCATTCATCTGCAGGTAGGCCTCTTTCACCCGCCGTCCGTCCGCGGGAGTCCCTCTTTCCGGCGGGCCGGTCCCCGGGATCCCTCCGCTCTCTCCGGGCCCGGCGGGGTCCGGGTGGGCCGAAGAATCGGCGGACCCGACCGCTCTCCTGGGGTGGGAATTTCCGCGGCCACCCAGACCCCCGGCCCCGCAGCCGCTTCCTCCTTCCCTCTCGGGCGGGAATGGAACCGGCTAATTCGGGTTCCGCCACCGGATCGGCGGCGGTGGTGGAGAGCGCGCTTCCGTAAATTTAACGGTCGGCGGGAGAGAGGAAGTTCGTCCGTTACGTAACGTCGACGTAACAAAGAATCTGCCGGGCGCGGTTGGACGGTCTTCCGCAGCGGAACCGGAGCGGCCGTTTCCTCCCGGGCCGTCTTTCGGCGTCTGTTTAAAATTGCCGCCTTCGGAAGGAGGGAAGTTTCGCCAAATGCCGCGGTCGGCCGTCGAATCGGCAGTGGGAGAAACGCTTCCGGGTGGGGAGCCACCGGCGCGGGAAGCCGGCCTAATGGTCGGCCGCGGGTGGTAGATCCGGCGGGCCGACTGCCTGTTTCTTCCGAGGGCGGGTCGGGAGGCGCGCGCCCGGGGCGGTACGGGAATCGCCAGTTTTTGGACGGCGGCCCGTACGTCGGCCCGTACGTCGGCCGTGCGCGGCGCTTTAGTCGGAGGGAAAAGAGGAATCGAATTGGAGCCGAGCCGAAAGAGGGAGATCGGAACCAGCTAGGAAGTTTCCGGCGGGGAAGAGGCGACCGTCGGGTGGAAATAAAAGGAAGCGCGCGCCAATTGAACGGCGAATTGTCCGTTAGAGGAAAGAGGAGCGTTGGGGTGGCTGGTACCGGTTACGCAAGAATTAGACTAACGGCCGACGCGGTGGAGTTTTGTTTTTCCCGTCGGTCGTCGGCAAAGATAAAGTCGACCTCGTCCGGAGACGGAGGCGAAATTTAATTTCCGCGGTCGAGAGGGGGATTGGCACGGTTAGTTTTCGAAGCTCACCGCCCACGCGTTTAAGTAATTTAAAGTGGCCTAAAGAACCACCCGCCGGCCGAGTGGGAGGTGGAAAATCCGACTATTTCTAATCCGAACGGAGAAGGAACCGCTGGGTGTTAATTGTAGGCGTGGTGAGGAAACGGGTTTGTTACCGGTGGTTTTGGAGGAGGGAGCCGGACCAGCGGCCTCCGTTATTGGCCGGAGGGGTTTAAAACCCCGGACGGCTGCGGCTCGAAGCCCGCATTAATCACGCGCTTTGGTTTTTTTTTTCAGAGCGCGCAGACGCGACTTCTGATCAAGGGAGGAAGGATCGTCAACGACGATTGCATCTTCGACGCCGACATCTACGTGGAAGACGGCGTCATCAAGTAAGTCTTTCTTAGGCGTCCTGGTCGTGGCGGAAAAAGAGAAGATCGCGATGACGATAGGTAAGGCGCGTGCAATCGGTCCGAAATCTTCCCCCTGCCTTCCTGGTAAATCCTTTCTTTTGTAAATTTGACGATTTCTGCCAAGTTTAGATTTGTCGACCTTGCCAAATATGTATTAGCTGGCATTTCGTCTCAACTGAAACGCGTCCGAGTCGGTGGCAAAATGCCGTTAACGGCTACGGTACGGGTCGATGGGTAAACCGCGCCTCGTCTTTTACTTAAAATATGGCCCGAGAGGGCCCGTCTTTTGGCAAAATTAGGTAATTCCACGGAAACAAAAATTTAGGGGGAAAGAAAGTCTAACCGTGACGGCCGCAACGGGAATAAATTTTCAACGCCGTTTTTTCCCACGCTTCGCCTCCTTCCGCTCTCTCCAATTCATAAATATTTTTACCACCTCGACTATAATTAATCGAGTATTTAAAATTGTATTTTTTTTTCCGGAGTTCGATTTCTTTAAAATACAGTTTTACATCTTTTAAACAAAAACGGAGCGCGTAAAGGACGAATCCTACAGGCGGAATGTGACCGTTACCGGCGATAAATGAAAAATTCGAATATAAAATGTCTTCAAAACGAAAGTGGGAGTAAAAATTTCAATTAAGACGGGGCCCGGGTCAAATAATGCGAAAGGATAAGCCAGCGCGTTAGAATATAAAGGACCGGTCCAAGTACTTTTCCAGTAAGACTGAAATGTTTGCGAGTTCGATCCGGCCAAGAGTATTTTTCCGTCCGACCTTTCGTTTACACCAGTGTTTCTCAACGGGGGCGATATCGCCACCACGCGGGCGTTTTTCCACGTCCAGGGGGCGATTAGTAACAATTTATATTTTGGGGGCGAAAACAATTTTCTGGGCGATATAGTAAAACATTATATTAAGAATAATTAAATAACATTATACTAATCACTAGCCTATTCGATGCGGTACGAATTTGGCGTTGGCCTCGGCCCTGGGCATGGGAATTTTGAAGCCAAGGGGGCGACGATTCGTTACAGGTTGAGAAACACTGGTTTAGACGTAGGCGAAATAAGTGGGCGCGGCAACGACGGCCACGCCTTGATTTATATAACAAACGGGACGTGCGACGGGTGGAATTGAAGGCCACCGTCCGAAATTTTGTTTCGTATTTGGTTTTTCCACCGTCGACCGTTAAGTAAGCTTCCGTACAGGAAACGACGCCCGCCAACCGGATGATTTATACGGTCGGAAACGTTGGCCCCAACCGAGATTTTAATGACTATTTTAGCTTTTCTCCGTAAAGAGCGTGGCCACGGTCGGAGGAAATAATTTCCTACCTCCCGTCCAAATTAACGGAGGCGATAGAAGGCAACTCCCGTTTAATCGGTCGGTCGCACCCCGTTTGACGGAATAGAATTTCTTCCGACGTTAAAAATCCCAGCGGCACAAATTTTTTCCAACGTCGTTTACCTACGATTATCTAACTTTAATCTCCCAGCCTACTTTAAATATGTTTTAAAGCTCTACCGGACACGTCTACCTTTTCTGGCCGGAAAGAGGTAAACTCCCGTTTAAATTGAAAATAAGTAAATCCGGGCCCTGCCGAAAAAGGCCAAGAAGTACTCCGAAGTGGCGTAATAAAATTCCCATATATTTAAAAATGCCGTAGAACGGGGCGGGGAGTTAGTGTTCCCGCTTTGCCCGGGACGTGGAATCGGTGATCGTAGGCGGCAAGTTAAAGTTTCTTTATAGAAAGACTTGGTGGGTTTAAGCGGTAAGAGCCGCATAAAAATAAGTTGTGTAATTTGTATTAGTGCCAACGTAGTTTATTTCTGTTGTTATCGGCGAAACGACTCGTCCTTTTGTTAGATTGGAATTTCGCTTAATCCGTGAGAACGCGCGTTTCTCGACTCTCGGCCGGAAGGGAAACTGCGCGTAGGACTTTACCCGCACCCGGGGTAGAGCCGGCCGACGGAATCGTAATCCAAGGCTAATCCGGTCTCGCCTCTCTCAGACAGGTGGGAAGAGACCTGATCATCCCGGGAGGAACTCGGACCCTCGAGGCCAAGGGCAAATACGTCATTCCCGGTAAGTGCGGCTCCTGCCGATTTTGGCGCCGGCCACCTCCATCTTCCTGTCTAACCTCCGGTTTAATTTTGCAGGCGGAGTCGATCCCCACACTAGATTCGAATTCTCCTTCTTGGACGTCAAGTCGTCGGACGACTTCTATTCGGGAACCAAAGCCGCTTTGGCCGGAGGAACCACCACTATAGGTGACTCTTTCTCTCCCCGTCCTCCCGAACGGACGGTCCGGGAGGACAATGACGCCAACGGTTTTCGTTTCAGTGGACTGCGTGGTCGATCCCAGTTGTTCGATTTTGGAAGCCTACGAGAAATGGAGGAGCGTGGCCGACGAGAAGGTGTGCTGCGACTACGGACTGCACGTGACCCTGACCTGCTGGAACGACAAGGTCGAACGGGAAATGGACCTCCTGACTAAAGAAAAAGGTGGGTCTCTTCTTTCGTTTTCCGCCGCTGTCGGAATTAATGGCTTAAGTTAGTCTAAATCTCCAACGCCCTCTGGTAGCTACGGGAAAACGAAACGTATTGCGCATTGCCGGCTGAAAAGGGTAAATCGTTTTTTAAGCTATTGGTAACCTATTGACTCGTGTAATTTGTTTCAAAGAAATTAAAATATCAGTAAGTAGGATAATTTTCTACGTAATATTTCGAGTGGTCCTTCCAGCGAGTCAACTCTTGACAAAATCCAACCGCGGAGTTCGTCCGTAAATACGATTAGATAATTTGTCAGGTAAATTCCATGGTAACATAACGAACATTTTCTCTTTTGGCTACTCGACGTTCTCTGGTAACGACAGGAAAGCCAGTTTACAAACCTTTCCGACTGGCGTATCCGTATCCTAATCCGCCAAATGAATTCTTTGTCTTTCTGGCGTTTTGGCCAAAGCGGATTATAACTGGACACGGCGGCGGAAGAAGGGAGAAAAGACAAAAGTGGGGAGTCGACCCGGCTACCCTCTCATCGACGACTTTTATCGCTTCTGGCGATTAATCGCCTACCCCTCCACACCGGTAGCTACTCGTATAAACGTTCACTGGGCTACAAATTGCAGTTGCCACCGAGAAATACCCGATTTCTAGTTTTCGCGCGGCTTAGTAAGAAAGGAAAACGAAGGTGGTTTCGTAAAATATATCGATTTAAGAAACGACGGACGACAAACGCGTGTTTTTCCTAGATCGCGTGACCGTGAAAATAAAAATGTGGCCATTTTGCGTCTAATTCCGTTGTACTTTTGATGGCGATTTATTTTGGCGCGCGTCTGCGGCCATCCGTAGATCCGCTTTCCCTTATATTACGCGCGATATGGCCGATGAAGGCGTCGTTATTACCCCGCGTTCGACGTATTACCGGCAACGGATTATTAGAGAAGGTCGTTGGAGCCCACTGTAGTTCTAACGGCCCTCGTTAGGGGCGCGTCGGTCGGCCGAGATAGGTTAAAAGTAGTAACTATTAATTAAAATTAAACCGCCTTTTATTTTCGCTTGGAAAATTTATGCATTAAAATTAGAAATTAAATAGGACGCTCTATTGTTGCTTTTAAAACGTAAAAATATTTAATATGTACCGGTACACGCGGTACGAACGAGTAGCCAGATATTTTAATTTAAAAAATAAAAAATTAAATGCTTGTACGTTCTTTGCTACGGAGAACCTATCGTGCAGGAAAAAGCGTTCTCCGTAGCAAATTGCAAAGAACGTACGATTCTTTTGCGCATGTAATGTGTAAAAATGCTATGATGAAATTTAGTTTATTGATTTAATAAACATTTCTGTTAGCTTAGGCATAAAGGTTTATAACAAATTTAGTTATTGCATTAACGAATGCCAAAATAATGCAGAAAAGCCATTGTTTAGCGAGTGAACAATAATTTAGTTCCTTATTCTAATAGGCAGGAAATCTATTCGTAGCGTGCGTCTTCCGTACCTCATTAATTCTTTCAGGCGTGCTGTCGATTAATTTTAGATAGCTATCTTGACTTACTTTTTTTCCGCTGTTACCTCGGCTCTTTCCCGTACTTCGATAATAAACTAGCCGAGTTAAAAAAATCATTTAAGGCATATTTAAATTTGTCCCGCAGGTTTTCCATCGGATTTAAATCTGGGGATTGAGTGGCCCATCAAAAACTTCGATACGCCACTGCCGAAGCCAGGTTTTAATGCGTTTTAGCCCGGGAGCGGATCTAGGTTTTTCGGGACCTAGAGCTTATCCGAGTCCCGCGGGGCCCCAGTTTTTGTTAGATTAAGAATCTTTAAATTGGATTTTGAAATTCATTTTTAATAACATCAAAAATCGGAGATGAAATACATTTATTTATGAAATGGTGTCGAATGACGATAAGTGCTCATTGTTAATGAAAAAGTATTAAAAGTTTATATGATAATAGTTTAATTTTTGTGGGCCCTCGACACACGGGGTCCGGGGCTTAAGCCCTGTTAGATCCTACGTAGATCCGCCCCCGCGGGTAGAGCGGAAACGTCGTACGTTCACCCCGCTTTCTATCGATCGCCGTTAAATAACTCGACCGATAAACGGATGGATAATCGGATCGCGTATAATACAAAATAAAGCCGACAAGCCTTTGCCGGTCGGAAACCGTACTATTGCCGTTATTCGACAAATACTCGAAACCTACGTCGCCTATCGTCTCGCGACTATTGTTTCCTTCCAGACCTCTTCCCCACCGAAAAATTCCTCTCCGGGCAGCGCGGTAAGTACTCCGGTCCGAAGTGGAAGTTAACCGGGTTGATGGAAATGTTAATTTGAAGAAAGATATTTCCTTCCCTTCGATTCGGATAGTAACATTGGAAAGTATTGAAAAAACTTTTTTCACAATGAGTCAACTGTTGATACACAGAAAGATACTTGACTTTTCTAGAAGAGGTTTATTTGTGTTTTATTGTAATGTAAGAGATATGAATAACAAATATTTAAAAATACTTAAAATAACAGAACAATATTGTTGTAATTTTGATGTATTGGCTTTCCGTGAAACTTGGACGTATGATGAAAATCCTCCACCAAAAATAAAAGATTACCAAATAGTAAGGACGGAAAGAAAATTTAATCAACACGGAGGCATAGTATTATACATACACAAAAGTAAGAGTTATGGAGCCATACCAGATTTAACTTTTATCAAAGATTACGTAGATAAGATGATGATACTGGTAATCTAGCTTTCGCCATCTACAGACTATGGAATCTTCCTTTAGGTTATAAATGATATATTATTTTATAACTAAATATAGGAAATATAAAATACAAATAATTGAGGACTTCAACATAGACGTATTTATAAACAATTCTTCCTATGCTTGGCAGAAAATTTAACGATCCTGACCGATTTGAATCAGTCTACCAGATACGGTAAAAATACTCTTTGATAGACTGTAGTCTGAGTACACCAAGATTTGATTTCTGACCGTTTACTCCCGAAAAAGACCTTGATATGGAAAAGAAAAGTAATCTACCTCAAAATCAACAATTCCTCTATTCACTGTTTACGAAATGTCATGTTTTTCCTGGAATTATTTTTATACTCAATTATCTGACTACTTATATACTATTTTACTGGTTTTTATTGACAAATATCTCCCAAAGAGACAATATATTAAAAAAAAAAAAAAAACAGAATTAGCAGGAAAGTATTCCCGAGGAAATTTATATCAGATCGCACGTTAGCATTACAGTAATAAAACAGAAGAAAACTTTATTTAAGAATGTTAAGAATAGAAATTGGATAACCCTTGAAGATCGAAACAAGTACTTAATTAAAGGATATAAATAACTTGAATAAACAAATTAGGAAGAACATTCGGATTAAGGAGAGGAACTATTATAGTCTTTTGTTTTCTAACGTTGACTCCCCTTCTGATTTCTGGAAAAGAATTAAAACCCGACCCTCCGAGGTAACCAGAGGCCATATTCTGGTCACCGTCTCTCGTCTCTCGCAAGCCGGTCGCTGATTGGATAATCATTTGGATTAGCCAATCAGCGACCGGCTTACGAGAGACCAGAGACGGTGACCAGAATACGGCCCCAGGACAAAGAATAAAGTTAAAATAAATCAATTAAGTTATAAGGGAAAACAACTGATGATGAGAACACAATTTGTAATATCTTTGCCGATTACTACAGATCCACGAATGGTTTCGCACCAGATGTTTCGGCAGTGTCAACGCCGTTATATCCAATACTTTCTTTTTGGGAAACTCAACTCCCTCAGAGGTTTATAAAGCTATAATGAGTTTAAAGAACAGTTCTCCGGATATTAATTTTTTAAGTATTGAAATTCTAAAATATATAGCAGATATCTTAGCTCAACTATTGTCGTATCTGATAAACAAATCTTTCGAAAATGGTATTTTTCCAGAAAAGTTAAATAAAAACTTAGTTTTGCCGTTATATAAGGATAAAGGTGATGTAGAAAACTACCGTCTAATCACAATAGTATCTATTTTGGCAAAAATTTTTGAGAAGATTTTCTACTTTTATAAACAAATTACAGATTATTCACAGTAATTAATACGCACACAAACGGGGATATTCGACGGAAGACGCTTTGTTGTATTTGAAACAATCAATCACGTCGAAACTGGATAAATCAAATATAGTAGTTTCCGTCTTCGTAGACCTCTCAAAAGCATTTGATAGCTTGAATCTGGAACTTTTAGAATTAAAATTGCAAACTATTGGTGTAAGATGGTTAAAATCATATTTGTTAAACAGAACTTACTACATTAAAAATGGACAGGCTATCTCCAGTTTGTTTAGACCAAACAAGGGCATTCCTCGAGGTTCAATTCTATGTCCTCTGCTTTAAAACACATACATCAATGGTCTTTTCAGCCATATATCAAAAGACAACACAATCATGTATGCCGACGATATAGTGATAACTTTTCATATAAATGCTGTAATTCTTCGAGACAATTTAAATAACATTCTAAAAAACAAATGGTTATATGGAAAAAATTGACTAGCAATTAATAAAAACAAGACGAAATTTCTGTTTTGCCAATAGAAACAAAAAACTTAATCTTGACCACCTAAAAATTGAAATAACTGAAAATAACATAGAAGGAGTAAGTGCTATATAGTTCTTAGGGATAACATTTGATGATAATCTGCGCTGGAATAGACAAATAGATGATATTGCTTTCTCCTTGGCAAAGTATATTGGGATAAATAAAAAAATTCAAAACTTTAAGTATATTACAATTGTAGCGGTTATACCATATATGCATGGAATCCAAAATAAGATGTGGAATTACTGTGGGAACCTCATCTTTGTACGCTGTTAACAAACTTCAGGTGTTACAAAATAGCTTTATTCGTTCAATTTATAATCTACATTTCAGGGAATCGGTGTCGGAACTCTACCGCACTGAAAATATTGATAGAATATGCGAAATATACACGAAACAAGCCCTGTTGGAGAGTTATAAACTTATAAAGGGTAACGAGGAAAACAGCTGTCTCGAAACAAAATAGATGAACATCGAAATGTATCGACACGGATACTCGCCAGACCTATTGATATAATCTTCCAATCGTTAAACTTACGGTGGGAAAATCTGCGCCGATTTCCTGTTGGAACAGTTTGAGTAATGATCCAAGAAAGATATGAAGTTACAAAATCTACAAAAAACAATGTGAAAGAGTTAAGTTATAGTGATTGTTATTAATCAATCTAAACGGATTTACGAAAACAATGTTATATAATCAGCCCGCGTTTTGGTTATTGTTTTAACTAACCCTCTTACAGTTATGCTTTATTTGCTGATTGTTTGTTTGAAGATACTTGAAAAAGCCCTATTTGGCCACACTCTTTTTAATAAAAAAAATAATGACTATACCGCCTTTAGGTGTCAACTCGTTCGTGGCTTTCATGGCTTACAAGGACCTTCTGATGCTGAACGACGAAGAACTGCTGAAAGTTTTCGAGGCCTGCAAGAAACTGGGAGCCCTGCCCCAGGTTCACGCCGAAAACGGAGACATCGTTCACCAGGTGAGTGGGCGCAGACGGGAGTCGGTAAAGCACTCCGGCCCCGTTCCCGACCGAAAAAGTAACGATAGATTGGTTTTTCAGCTGGAACAGAAAATTTTGCGCATGGGCATCACCGGACCCGAAGGATACGTCTACTCCAGACCCGAAGAGGTGAGTCCTCCTTCTCCTTCCGTTTCTGACCCGGGGTCGGAAAACATTTGCATCTCATGTTTGGTCTGTCTCTGACCCATCCGTAAACTCGGGGTGACGGCATTTAGTTTCCGCGGAAAACGTCGGTGGGGGAGGAAAGTGTGCCGCCGGAATGTAAAAGCTTCGACTCGAGGGGCAGAGGAGGGCGAAAAGTCGATCGGCGATTATTTTCGGGCGGTGACGGTCCAGCTCCTGCCCGCGCGGCCCGAAGATTCGGTCTCCGCCCGACCGGAAAACGGAAACGAAAACCGAGTTCGAGCACTACTCCGTCGGAAAGTAACGGCACGTAAGACGCAACTCTTGTCGAAAAAAGAAGGGGTAACCCGGCCGCCGCTCGTTGCTCGCCCCGCGGGCAATCGCGCGCTCTATTCGGGTAGAGTCTCTTCCCCGACGACGTTTACATTTCCAAATTAGCCATCGTTTCGCGGCGTCGCGTCTAATTCGGCCGAGTGTCGACGAAACGCGCGCATCCGGATGTGTCTGGGTGGGATTTTCCTCTCCGCTTCTATTTCTCCGGAGGCCACCGTAGTTTAGGGGAGAAACCCCGTCTGTCGGGTCGGCCGAGGTGGGTGAGAAGAGGTGGCGGGCCGGCGATGGGGAGCTTTTCAGATTTTAAAACGGAGGTGATTTTCAGGTGGAAGCGGAAGCTACTTATCGAGCCGCCACTCTGGCCAATCAGACCAACTGCCCGCTGTACGTGCTGAACGTCACCGGCAAGAGCGCCGCCGACGTCATTTCCGGCAAAAGGAAGGAAGGTGAGTGCTTTTTTCCGCATTTTATCCGCGCGAGAATGAAGAGTGATTTAAGCGCGATTTACACCGGATGCGTAACAAAAGGAAGAGATCCAACGACTAAACGCCAACGTAGGTAACCTGGCGAAGCCAGTTAAAAATTTTCATGTCGGCCAATGGACGTACGCGCGTTGGCAAGCGCCAGCCAATGAAAACCTTTTCGTCTGAAGTAGAGTTCTGGACTGGCAGCAAAAAAAAAACCGATTCATATTGAAAATAATACTGGTATATAATTTAATTTCGATAAACATACACGACACAGTAAACAAAAAAAAAAAAAACGTTAACGGGGTAACTGCAGTATATATCGAATTTTTTAAACCGCCATCTATTGGAAAAGTTGCTCCGTTCGCGTCCAGTGTAAATTGCGCCGAGGGTGCGGACGGATATTGGTGTAATGATTTTTTTGAAACGCCATCTGTTGGAAAAACTGGAAATTACAACTGGTCGTGTTGCCAGATTTGGCTACCTGTTTTTAGTTTGGCGTAAAAAAAATATCGTTTGTCGCACGGACTATTTTTTGGGACACATAAATTCGACTGGGCTACGTATTTATATATAAATATATTTGAATAAAAATGCGCTTTTGTCGTGTCGTATAAATATAGACCCAAATAAAACAAATTGTTTATTATAGAGGAGACAAACAAAAATCTGTCTACTTCCGACTAACTTGTAAGTAAAACTCGAAAGTGTAGAAGTAATTTTTTAAAATATTTTAATACTTATTTCGGTAAGTCTAGGCACGTTAATCTTTAGATAATAGAAAAATTAATATAATTTTTCTATTTCTATTTTTCTATTTCTATGTCTTTTAACGGAGGAGGAAGTGATTTAACTTTATCTTGTATGGTATTTTCGATGATAAATTTAATATCCGTTTTTAATATTTTAATTTGTTTCTCCAGTCTACTTTCTATACTGTGGGACGTAGGTATTCCGTACCTATTATTATTATTGTTTTATTTTCTTCCATGCGCAGTACGTATTGGTTTAATAACGAATCATTTCGGTCAACTTTCGAATTAAATAATTATAGTTTCGTAAATCCGTTGAAATAGTAGCAAATTAACAACTTGAGAATATTGAATTTTTGTAGAGTCTCGGTAAGACCGTTAATTGCATAATTTGTTGCATATAAAACCGGTGTTCTCGACCTATCGATAAATTACAGTTCGTACTTGCATTTTTGCGGTGTTTTGAGTCAGGCCGTCCTTATTTTCGGATGGGTTTACGATCCGTAAATTGTCGAAATCGATTCCGCCATTAATTAAAGTTATTGCGGGAAAAGTACAAACGGTGTTTTTACTATTTTATCGTCCAATCTCGGGTTATTTACCGAAAAAGAATTTTCTGAGTCGGCTACTTTTCACAAACTTTTTGGCTATTAAAGCCTAGAACAGCTGGCAGCGGGAATGAAATTTTGCTGCGTTGGCCGCCTCGGCTCTCCGGCGTAAATGGCTCTTAAGGCCAGGAATACACGTGCGTAAAATCCGGCGTAAAGTCTAGCATAAAACAGAAAGCGTAAAATTTTTCTGAAATTTTAGCTGAAAAATAACTGAAAAAAGAGTAGAGCGTGCCTCTACTTTTTACGCCAAAATTACTCCAATAAAGAGGTCTTTTTGTGATGTTAAAACACGTGGTTTTTATTCTAATAATGGCGGTTAGCCCTATAATTGTGACGGTCTCCGAGAAACGAAAAAGAAATGAAATAGAAGGCTTTATTGAATCCATTCGACCACATCAGTGTCTTCGTGACATAAAAAAAGTGTCATGTATACTTATTCTTTATCCTCGCCTTTTCCCATCTTTATATGGGGTCGGCGTTTCCTTCTCTATTACGTTTTTCCATGTCTCCCTATCAAGGGCTTCTTCTCTCTTAAGTCCCCTTTGGTTTGAGTCTTTTTCCATCTTATTTTTCCAACGCATCTTTGGTCTTCCTCTTTTCCTCTTTCCAATATAATTGTACTCCTTCGCTCTACGTGGCCAAACCACCTCAACCTACATTCTTGCATTTTTTTGCTCTTAACAGAATCTCCAATAAAATCATTCCTTATTCTATCCTTCCTTGACACCCCACACATCCATCTCAACATTGTCATCTCCGCCATCTCCATCTTTTTTTCTTGGGCTCTCGTTATTGCCCGTGTCTCAGCTCCATATAACACCGCGGATCTAACAACCGATTTATACAATTTTCCTTTCATATTGCAGCTAACTTTCTTGTCGCATAACACACCGCTCAGCTTCCTCCAGTTCATCCATCCACATTGAATTCTATGTTGCACCTCCAAGTTTAGTCTTCCTCCCATCTCGAAAAATGTCCCAAGATATTTAAAACTCGGAACAAAAACAAGCGGCACATTTTGGATTTTAATGTATTACATTCGTCTATACCATTCAGAGTCAAATAAGCTGTTTTAGTTCTGCTAATGTTCATGCCCCTTTCTTCCAAAACTTTCCTCCAATCTTCAAGTTTCTTCTCAGCCTTGGTTTAGGAAAGTTTACACAGCACAATCTCATCCGCAAACAGTATACTCCACGGAGCCTCACATTTCACGTCACACACCAACACGTCCATTATCGGGTCAAGCAAATAAAAGCCGATCCCTGATGCAAACCAACATTATTTAATTAACGAAGAACCCTTCTGTAGTGCCCACACTATTCTTAACTTGGGTCTCTGCTCCCTCGTACATTTCCTTGAAGAACCTAACATATTTTTCTGGAACATTCTTTTCTCTCAAACATCTCCATACCTCTTGCTTTGGTACCCTATCGTACGTCTTTTCTAGATCTATGAACACCATGTGCCTTTCCATCAGCTGTTTTACAGCAAAGATAGCGTCAGTCGTACTCCTTCCCGGCAAAAATCCAAACTGTTCTTCTCCAATCTCAGATTCCTGCCTAATCCTTTTTTCTACAATTTTCTTCCAAATCTTCATAGTAAGGGACAATAACTTTATACCTCTGTAATTTCCGCAATTCTATATATTCCCATTACCTTTAAATATCGGCGCCAGAATGCTCTTCCTTTATTTATCTGGAATCTTCTCCTGCTGTCAGAGTTTGTTCATAAGGTTCCAGAGGATATCTATTCTTTCCTTACCCAAACCTCGCCAAGCCTCAACCTGAATCCGATCAACGCCTACTGCTTTCTCCATCTTTATTTTCCTAATCACACTTTCCACTTATTTTCTCCTAATATCTTCCACCACTCCTTCATTTGCTTCTCCATTCTCGTATAAAGTTCTGCGGTTTTCTTCATTCAATAAATTCCTAAAATTTCTTTCCATCTTTTTTTGACCCTTTCGTAATCTTGCAATACCATTCCTTTATCATCTTTAATCAGTTTAATAGAGGTAAAATCTTTTGATGTCTTATCTCTTGCTTTGGCAATTCTCATGAACTTATTTTCATCACCTTTCCTTTCGAAAACTATAAGCCTTTTCTAAAGCCTCTGCTTTCGCAATAGCCACCGCCTTTTTAGTCATTTTATTTGCCAAGTGGTAAGTTTCTTTATCTTCAGGCCTTCCCATCAAATCCCACCTTTTCTTTGCTTCTTTCTTTTGTTTAACTGCGGCTTGTACCACAGCATTCCTCCTTCCTTTCTGGCGATCTCTTCCCTGAAGTTTTTCGCAAAACTTCTCCAGCTTTCAAAATGCAATTACTATTCAGCAATCATCCGGAAACTGGATTTCTTTTAACACTTTTACCTTAAACTCTTTCCTTAATTCCTCTTCTTTCAATCTCCACCATTTGTTCCTTTGTTCAATCTGGCTAACATAATTCCTACAATGGCCCATAAGAAAGTCACAATCCACCAGGAGGACGCTATGTTGTGCACTCTTTATTTAACACCTTACTGTTTATCACTTATCTCAGATGTCTTCTGCGGCACAAGAAAAAATCAATCTGGCTGGATCTACCTCCACTCATGTGTATAACCAGTTGGTTCGCTTTCTTCTCAAAGTAGGTGTTAACTACCGCAAGGTCAAAAGCCACAACATGATCGACTAGTCTTTCTCCCTGTCCATTCCTCACCTTCCAAGAACTCTTCTTTCCGGGCATTCTTCCTCTTCCCAACATGACCATTTAAATCGCTCCCACAGATTAATCTCTCGTTCATAGGAACACACATTATAACTTGGTGAAGATCTGTCCAAAAGTTTATCTTTTCTTTTTCTCCACTACCTGGCTGAGGAACATACACACACAATCGTAATGAAATTCCACCAACGTTTAACTTAACGCTCATAATTCTATCACACCTTCGTTTTACCCAGGCATGGACAACATACGGCCCGCGGGCCAGACCCGGCCCGTCTAATGAATTTATGTGGCCAGCGATCACTCTTTCAATATTAGGTATTGAAGTCTGAATAGCTTGATGAAAAATTCTGACGCATAAAAAAAAGGTCAACAACTCACTGTGCATTTAGAGTTACAAATTACAAATCTGTGTTGATAAAGCATGATAATGTGAAAAATGTATCTGCAATCTATCTACAATTCAGTCTCTATGAGGTGACACCGCAATGAGGTCTCGCACCACATCAAAATCTTCCTATGGTTCGGCCCGTGGAAAAAGTTTTCTTTCCAATCCGGCCCGGGGGCAAAAACTGTTGGACACCCCTGGTTTAACCCCACAGACACTGTCTTTTAGAAGTTGATCAATTACGATACCAACTCCATTCCTTCCTTCCTCATTCGCTCCACTCACAAACAGCTTGTACCCTTCACCAAGTTCTTTAGCTTTATTTCCTTTTTTTCTTGTCTCTTCCAGGCACAAAATGTTCACTCTTTTTCTTTGCATAAGATCAATCAACTCTCTTCTCTTCCCATTCAATGTTCCGATGTTTAAAGTACTTATTCTTTATACTTGTCTCCTTCCTCTTCTCTTTCTAGACTAACTTCTTTATCTGAATCCGTCCTTGGTTCGGTAGCTCCAGCTCATTTGACATAGTTTTCAGGCGACACGACTGCGCATCGCGTCGGGGGGTACGTCCTAACACAGTTATAAGACACTGTATTTAAACAGTTTATGGACGGCCATAGGTGCTAAATTTCAAATAACAGGTAGGTCTAGTAGAATCGATATAGAGCAGAGGTGTCCAACCTTTTTGTTTCTCTGGGCCGCATTGGAAGAAGTCAAGGAGTTTTGGGCCACAAGTACTGTATATATAATACTAGCAGACCCCGTCACGCTTTGTTGTGGCTCAAAATGTATCTATTATAAATTCATAACACTTCCCCCGTGGGGGGAGGAATTTTTGGAAAAATTTCTTCTTAGTGTACATTCTCTCGACGTATTAAAACGCAAAAACCCGCATCTAAAATAGTATAAACAGAAGCAGAGTTTTTTACGGTAAGCCTTAATCCTAACCATCTCCCTTCGTGGGGTTGAATTTCGACACGTATATTATATAAAAACACGTGCGTATTCGAATGCAGCGTTGTGTCAAAATTTCAAAGGAATCGGTAGGAACAAACGAACGTTACATTTTTATCTATATAGATAGATAGATAGATCTGTTTTAGTTCATTTTCACAGAAAAGCGTAATGCCTGGCAGAAAAGCAAACTTAGGGCGTCGTACTCGTAGCGCCATCTGTTGGACATAAAAGCCTTAACCGTAGATGATATCATTTAATTTATACGAATGTTTAACGGAATAATATACAGCTTATGTCCACCCCGAAGGTCCATTCTAAATATTGGTGATAGAATTTTTGAAATCGGATGAATAGTTTCGAAGATTACCCGCCGCATCCAAACTTACATACAAACATTACCTCTTTATAATATTAGTATATACTTGTGGCCCAATATACAAGTATATTTAAGGATTAACGTGTCTAGATTATAATAATAAGTATTAAAACTTTATCAAGAAACAGGATATTTTAAAAAAATTATTTTTACAGACACTTTCAATTTTTACTTAGAAATAGATAAATTAATTTATTTGATAAAACGCAAAAAATATTTGATTTATTTGAGTCTCTGATTAATAAAAAGCGACGAAAGACCATTTTAAAGTGCATTTTTATTCAACTAATTATAAATGATATGTAGCCACAAAAGTAGCCACATTTGGCGCAATGTGCCAAATCTTGAAACGCTGGAAGGAATACTAAATAAAGGTGGAGTTTTGACACAAAGGATTATAGAGTCAAATTCGGAAAAAGAAGAGAAAGGACAAAAGATAAAGAAGTGAGAAAGGTTGGAAAATTAAGACTCAATATTTGCCTAACAGAAGAACTATTTAACCTTTCTGACTACTTTTTATCTTTTGTCCTTTTTCTCCTTTCATCAAATTTCGGTCTATAATCCTTTGAGTCAAAACTCCAGCTTTATTTAGTAATCCTTCCTCATTCACGCATCTCCAAGTACATGAAAATATTTCATTTCCACTCAAAACTAAAATATGAATAAAGGTTTATGGCTTTGTGAAACTTCTTTTCTGAGTTTATGCCGTTGAAATAAATAATAAAAAATTAAAACATTTGTCGGTTTTGTTTACACTTTTATTGGGCCGCATGCGGCCCGCGGGCCTCGGGTTAGACACCCCTGACATAGAGTATAGTATTTAGATCACACGTTATTTCAATTCGGAATACTAGTCTATTAATTTAAATTTTCTAAATTATAGCAGGGGCAGAGGAGAAAAAAATGGAAAGTACAAAGGGATAGATATATGAGAGAAAAAAATTAATAAAGTGTAGCGCTGTTAGTGGCAGTGGCGTTTCCTATTCGGCCAGAATTTTTACGTACGTGTGTTCTGACATAAAAGCGTAAAACAGAAACTGAACCGAAAGCTGATTTCTGATTCAGTTCTACCACACAATTTTACGCTTGCCTAAGAGGCATGGGAGCCACCGAGCGGTGGAATATTTGGCCCAGGCGTTCTTCTTTAGGAGGACTTGGGAAATTTCCCTGGTAATAACGATAATCTTCGACGGTTATAAATAAATTGGGTAACGGAACGTGAAAATTTCTTTTCTACTTTAACGAGACTCGGAATAATATTTTCGGGCTGTGGGACAAATACGGCGTCGAAAATTTATGCGTCTGCACTTAAAAGTAGGGCCAAACGTTCTTCCGTAGGCAAAACCCATCATTCCGGACGGGACCGAGACTCGACTAGCCTAATAATTTCTGATGGTCGCAGCGGGGCATCGGCCGATGGCAAGTGGATGGACTCGTACGTCGGGCCACGTTCTGCCACAATTGCGGGAAACCGGCTTTCACGCATTTGGGCTCTATTTTGTCTGTAGCTGTCGCGGCCAAATTTTCCCCTTGGTTTTCGCATTACTTACCGTCGACCCGGCTACCGCACTTTTTTCCCTCGTTTCAGTTTAATTTGACACCGGGTGGCAGCGCGCCGCCGTAACCACCGGGTCGATAGGTCGCGCCGTTACAAAATAATTGCCATCGAAGTTTTTTACCTGGCATTTTACGCCGTGGAGTCTCGGCCTAAGCTTTTCGGCCGGACGAAAATACGGCGTTATTTCTTCCGCGGGTTTCGCCCGCCTTTCTTTTTACCTTTATCGGAAACGACCGTCACCGTATTTTATTATTGGTAGGTTGCATCCTGTTCGGAGAAACCACCGCCGCTTCCCTGGGCACCGACGGCACTCACTACTTCAACATGTGTTGGCAACACGCCGCCGCTCACGTTACTTGTCCTCCCCTCAGACCCGATCCTCGTCTGTCTTCTCGCCTCATGGACTATCTGAGCAGGTAATTTTACTCCTTTCGTCTTCTTTCCTCCGAGACGCCCGTTTAAGCGTCCCTCTGCCACCGAGAGGTCTCGCGTGGTATTCCGCGTCGTCCGGGTAGTTTCTTGCCGGCCACTCTCCGGTTTTTCTGATCCGGAAGACCCGGAAAGGTCGAGAAATGTCACCAAATTTAGGGGTTTTTCTGTACGTATGCCTGCGAGTGTGTGCGTATGCGCGATTTCCAAGCCTAATAACTGCCGTGTCTTTTGTGGAAAAAACGTCGGTCGTCGTCCGAGCATTTGCATTCGACCGATAAGTGTTTCGCCCCGTAAAACATCCAGGACATTTAATTTTTCGGTCGTTAGAATTGTCCCGAAACCGATACGTTTCTTCGGCCATTTAAACCTTTTATGGCTTTCGCCTTTCGGCCCGCGAGTAGGTATCGTTTTTTGATTTTTTTGGGTTTGAAAATGTGGAGATTTACAAAAAACTTGTATGGTCAAATCCGATGCTTTTCGTCGTCGCGTACGCGTAATGGCCGGAAAAGTAAAAGGGCAAAAAATTTCGGGGACGTGTATGGACGTCGGCATCTATTTCGCTTAACATTAGGTTGGGGAAAAAGAAATCCATTATTTTGTTGCTGGATGGCTGTAGTGATATATATCTTGTAAAGTATTGATGAAACAAATTCACACTTGTGCTCGTTGGTCAAAGTGCGGTGAAGCAGCTTAAACGGTGGCCAAACCAGGATTAACGGTCAGGAAGATTTTGCTGTGCATTTGGTGGGACTGGAAAGGAATCACCTACTACGAGCTGCTTCCATATGACCAAACATTAAATTTGAACCTCTACTGTCAACAATTGGACCGTTTGAAGCTAGCGATTGACCAGAAGCGGCCAGAATTGGCCAAGAGGAGAGGTGTTGTGTTTCATCAAGACACGTCTATAGTGACTCGCCAGAAACTCAGGGAGCTTGGTTGAAAAGTTTTCATGCATCCACCTTATAGTCTGGACCTGGCACCAAGCAATTACTATCTTTTTTATCATTGCAAAACTTCCTTGGTGATAAGAAATTGATATCAAGAGAAGATTGTGAAAATTGCTTAGTTGAGTTTTTCACCAAAAGGGACCAGGGCTTCTACGAGAGAGGCATTATGAAATTACCTTTAAAATGGCAAGAAATTATAAAACAAAACGGTGCATATTTGTCCCAAGTCGGACAATTTAAACCATGTTAAAGAAAGTCTTGAAATAAACGTAAAAATAGTGAATTTTTTTTTCCCCAACCCAATATCTCGGGGTGGAGTAAAGATTAAGAAAGGGAATTTGGCACGATAACCGAGTATAAGGGGCACGGATGCTATTAAATTCCGGTGGTTAAAAATGGCGGGTGGGGAGACGGAGAAGTGTCGTTTTTGTGTGTAGAGAGGGGTCGGACTATCGGGATTTTATTTATTATTAGTATTTACAGTTTTCTATATAAAACCCGTTCTTACCGTCAAAATGAACCCTTATGTCATTATACGAGATTTAAAAATATTGCATAAAATGTTTTTGTAAGGAAATACGATAACGGATGGCGCCGCACGCAATTTTATTTATTTCGATTATATTAAATAAAATCCGGCAACGGTTGAGAAAGTTGCCGGAGTTTTATGGGTAAGACGATGTTTAAACGCAGTCAAAGAATTTCTGGGTTTCCAGCGTTAAAGCCGGCTGGGTGTGGCGCGCCTCTGTCCACAGTTCTTTTATTACGATTATTATCGTTTCGTTTTGTTATTCATTAAGAAATTAATTTAGTGGATAAAAAGACGGAGCTCGGAATCATTTGTGTTTACGTCTCGTTTGCAGTGGCGATCTGACGGTGACCGCCAGCGCCAACGCTACTTTCAACAACGCTCAAAAGGCCCTGGGAGCCGACGACTTTACTAAAATACCGCACGGAGTCAACGGAGTGGAAGACAGGATGTCGGTGGTTTGGGAAAGAGGAGTGGTAAGTGCGATTTTCTATTCTCTTTTCTTTTTCCTCCGGATAACTCTTCATTGTTTCGTTACTCCGAAACGTTCGGAACTGTTATTATCTTCCCTATTAAAAAAATCCCCAAACTTTCATTTAACCCGAAATAAAAAATATCAGTCGTAAGTTAACGGATTAAAAGTTTACGAGAATTAATCGTTACGTTGTAACCCAATTGCCGGCAACTGTTATCCCAAGTACAAGTAGGCCGCACAAATTTGCCAATAGCGAGGTTGAGGCCGAAGTTTTAAACGCGAAAACGTGTACGTCGACGTTCAGCGCCGCTTTCCCGTAAGCCTAGAAGTTTGACAATGGTGTTTGTATTGTCGGTGGCGTTTCGCTCGACTTTCCAAACACCATTGTCAAACTTCTAGGCTTACGGGAAAGCGGCGCTGAACGTCGACGTACACGTTTTCGCGTTTAAAACTTCGGCCTCAACCTCGCTAATATTTCGTCTTGTTGGCGAAAAGTAACAGTAAAGCAAATTATAGTTATAGGCCGGGATGGTCGACCTTTTCCAGCCCGCGTGCCGTACAATAATCGTACTTACCTTTAAAGTTGTTTATGCGTGCCAGAGTTTTACACTATGAATAACGACAAATTAAACGAATTCGCTTTAATTAGAATTAATGTAAAACAGCCGATCGAGTGATAAATCGAAATCGTACGATTTCTCCTTACGTGTCGTCCCGTTACCTGCGCTCGACCCCCTACTTATTAGCGAGGTTGCGGCCCAAGTTTTCATCTCTAAGGGCTGTTTCACACTATGACCGACTGGTCCGACCCGACCGATTTTATAATCGGACCGACTAGTAGTAAAAGCATTCGCACTAATTGCGATTATTTATCGGTGGCCGACTCGTAAGGACCAATCAGAACGCGTGTTATAGATCAATACACTAGCCAATCGTGGTAAGTTTTTAAAATTAAACAGAAAACGTGGCCGTCGTGGAAAGCTATGGTGAATTTAGATATATCGCGTCATTGTTAGATTAGTCAACCTTCAACGTTTAGTTTCTTGAAAATCTCCGTCCAAGAATTATTTTTTTTTATCTTGTCTTTATAATCGGCTCGCCGAATATCGTAAAGCCACGGATATGTTCTGACTTCGTTTATTAAAGCTTCCGAGAAATCTATACTTTCCGCCATTTTCTAACTTCGATGTAGATTGGATAAATCTAAACTCTGATTGATTACAGCTTCGAAGCTCTCATTGGCTGTAGCTCACCGACTGCTCTGACCCGACTACAAATATTTAAATTTCAAATCTGTCCGACTGGAACGACTAGTCGGTTGACAGACTGTTGTTGCCATGACAACACGACTCGGAGTCGGTCCAGTCGGTCATAGTGTGAAACAGCCCAAAAACGTCAACGTCGAACGTCGAGCGCCGCAACCTCGCTATTGTCTTCGGTCGGCGGTTAGAATAATCAACGAAACGTCGGAAAGATGACCTCGACCGTAGTCCGAATCGGAATAAAGTACGGCATTGTGGGACGGAGTGCGGTGCGGTGTTTCTCCGACCGGAAGTTTAACGGATCAGATCGCATCGCCGTGGGGGAAGAATTGGGTGGCGGTATGAGGTGGGACCGGGCCGCTTACCCACGGCGAGTGGAAAAAGTCGAAATTCCCGTTTCACAAGTCTAGTGCCGTTTGGCGGGGAATGGCCGCCTCCGCCGGACACGGTAGTTTTATTCTAGGGTTCCTTTGGCAACGCGTATCATTCAAATAGTCTTCAAAAAGTCATTCGAAAAGACTTCTCTTAATCGGAATGAAATTTTGGAGTATTTAACGGAGGAGGAAGCGACGTCGACTTCCTTCGGAGGTAAGTTAATAAGTTTTAACGTACTCTGTCTTTTAACGCCCAGGTTACCGGCAAGTTAACTCCCTGTCAATTCGTGGCCGTCACCAGCACCAACGCCGCCAAGATATTTAATATTTATCCTCGCAAAGTAAGTGGCATTTTCATAAATTAAGTATAATTGTTATCTCGCGCATTTCTCGTAAAGTGGAAAATAAGAAACGTTATACCAGGTAGCTTCAAAAAGTTCCCGGAATTATGCTGGGTTAGTCAATTAAAGGCAATGAAAAAGAGAACACGTAATGCGTGCTAAACGTTCAGGAGTAAAGAATCGTATTCAAACAAGTCCGTACGATAAGAATCCGGAATTTCTTGACAACATTATTATGGGTGACGAAACCTAGTGTTTTTTGTACCATCCTCAACCAAAACGACAGTTTACGGAATGGAAGTTGCCCACCTCACCGCAGTCTACGAAATTTCAGCTCAGAGGTTTTCTTTGATTTTCGAGGGATTTATACGTGTTCACTACGAGTATTTATACCCGAGGGTGGCACATTCGACGAGGAGATGTACTGTACGTTGACATCCTGCGCCGTCTTAGAAAAGCCATCCGCCGACAACGTCTGCGCCATTGGGAAAGCAACACGTGGGTTCAGCAATGCCCTCGCGCATCGGTGGCTACTGGTGAAGCAGTACCCAATCGAACACGGAGTGATCACATTGGAGCATGCTCCGTACTCTCCAGATCTCGGCGCGTGTGATTTCTACCTCTTCTCCCGGTCATCGAGGGACGCCACTTCAACAATGCGGACGAGATTATAGAGGCGACATCCGCAGGTGCCGTCGCGAGATTGCTTCCGAGAACGTTTTCGGCAGCCATATCGGCCTTGGCAAAAACGTGCGGTTGCCGACACGTTTCTCGATTTATCGATTGTGTTCATACTTTTTCAGTAATAAGCCAATTCCTGGAACTTTTCGAAGCTACCCGATATTATGGCCAGTTATCGCCCATAAACGTTTACTTTTAAAATACGGTAGAAAACCTTTCGCGCTTAAATATAAAAGTAGGATTTTGTGTACTTGGTCGCCCGGCGTCTTTTCAACCGCGGATAACGTCGCTTGTCCGTCTTTCTATCGCCTCCCCGGTCTAAGACCGCCGTCAAACCGTTATTTTTATTTTGTTTACTAGCTGCAAGGACCCGCTTGGCTGGGTTTTTAAAAAGTAACGATAGTGAAGATTAAGATAATTACATTATAGCCAATCTTACCCGTTTTCACAAAATGCAAGAATTAGGTCCCCCGTTTCTGATTAGAGATCTGGTCCCGATTCTATTTCTGAACGTCTCCTGTTCATGTCGAGTCAAACGAACTATTTTCAACGTTTCTGGAACGTTTACAATCGTTCTATAATCGAACCAATATTCGAATTTTATGTTCGAATTTAATCCGAACAAATTCGAACAAAACATTCGAAATAGAAAGCTACTTTTAACCACTTTCAGCCCCATATCTCCCGCGCCCTTATAGCTATCGAGACGCAACCCTCCTGGTGTACGAATGGAGACTCGGGGCTACCACCACATACATACACCATTCACGTGCGATGTGTAGTTTTGGCGAAAAAGTGAAATATAGGNCAAGTTTCGCGCCGCCCTTATATATATAGATATAGATTAAATAAAAATTCCGGCCGTTTGGCTTTTTTCGGTGCCTACGAACAAATTTAAAGAAAAAAGGAAGGAGGCGATAACAAATTGTGGATATTATTTTTGAAGGTTTTTGTAAATTAATGCGTATTGAATTCAGTTGTGTTATCGTTCGGAATGTTGGTCGTGTTTAACGGCGGGAGATAGAAAACGCTACGATGTTTTTTATTCTTTCCTCGGACAGCCGTTACCTTTTCTTTATAAATTTGTAACTTTCCAATAAAACTTGCTTTGTATGTAAATTTCGCATTTCATCAATCTTATTAACTCGGCAGTATTCGGATACCAAATTATGGTAAGCTCGGATAAAATTGTTTTCCATCACTCGATGTTTATTATTTACGTAGTCGGACGCGGCATCCGTGATATAATTATTTTACCCCAGTGATGGTTAGAATATACTGTACGGTTTTTATTATTCCGGTAAATTTGGCTAGTGAGAAGGCGATATTACTAATCCCGCAGTTCCCACCCAGTTCCTCCTCTATAAATATTCCTAAGAACTTTTTATCACTTACCCTTTTATCTTTTTTTCAGTTCTTTGAATTCAAACATTTGGTCCGCAATCAAGTACAGTACTTTGTTTCTATGACGAAAACAAAACTTTTTTTGTCGCTATCGATAGTCGGCTTCTTCGTTTCGATATAATTGTTTTATTTTTTAACCCGTCACTTACGTTATTTCGAAGAGTTTCGGTTCGGTACGAGAACGAGTGGTTGCCGTAGACCAGTGTTTTTCGACCCGTGGGTCGCGACCTCCAAGCCTTAAAGCGTTCGCCATGCCTTAAAGCGCGTTAAAGCGTCCGCCGTTTTAAGCGCATCGACCGGAGTGAATAATTTTGTGTTAAGTTACGGACACGAAAATTTTTTCGGTATAGAAATAATTATTGGAGGATGATTGTTGTTGGGATTTTGGGGTATAAAAAAATCTATAATGGCGAAATTTCCGTTAATCTCTCACCGAGAACTACCAGTCGTTCGGTTATAATTAGAGTTTCTCGTTTTCCTGTCTTTTGCTCGTCTCGGCATTCCGGGAAAAAAGTGAACTGTTTCCCGGGATATAATTAATTATTTGTATTAAGATATAAAATAAATCTTAAAGTCGAACGATGTAATTACTTTTCATTTTTAAGTAACTTAATACGTCCCGCAATCTCCAAAATAATAATAATAATGCTGCGTAGAATATATATATAAAAAATTACTTTTGAGTTACGTAGAAATTTTCACAAATAGAAAAAGTTTAATAAACTTTGTTGGAAAGTGCTTTCAACAAAAATGCCTTTCAATCCAGTTGAAAATTAAAAAGAAGAAGAACTTAGATCAAACTTGTAACTTAGAAGGAAGGAAAGAGTTAAATGTTTTTTTGTTTAATTTTAGCGTCTTTCGCAGCCCTTTATACTTCCCAGGGTAAGCCTTTGATATTTTTCCAAAGTTCCACTTTTTTCTTTTGTTGGAATATTCGTTTGTTAGACGGGGTTTTATTTCCGTTCATTATTACGTTGTTTCCGAGTTAACTCGTTTTCAATAATCGAATCTGGGTAGGCCGTGCAAGAACTTTTTCTGTCTTATTATAGTTGCGCTTTCGTCCTATAGAATTTTTGCAGAAATATTCTTTTACCACACGCCTTACGTAGTAGGGACGACGGGTGAAGAGACGACGTCGCGCACCCCCGGAATTACGGGTGCCGCCCGCCCCGCCAAAATATACGTCGCCCGAGTACTCCCGGGCGATTCGGGCCGTCGAATCGCCCGAAAATCGCGCTAACCGGCGAGCCGGTTTAGCTTTTAGTCACGCGCTTTTATTCTCTTTCTCGTAGTGAAACTGCCAAGTTTCGCGCCGCCCTACACGTTTGAATGCGTCAAATTTTTCGAGTGTCTCGTCCCGAAATAAAAATCGTTAATAGGCTATAATAACCGACGTTTGTGGCTTCTTTGTTTTTCCACACATGGCGCTACTCGGTAACACGTGGTATTATTTACTTTCGTGTTGTTACCGTCGCTGTTAATAATAATCTTTAAAGCGGACGCGTGGTATATCGGCACGGAAATACCGGGCCGATTCCAATCCGGACGAAATTTTGGTTATATTTACTCCTAGCTTATTGTCCCTTAAATGTCGTGTTCTTAAATCACGTAAGTTGATAAAATAAACGTACTGCCGGCCAAGTAAAATGCGACACCACGATATTGCGGGTGTTGCATTTCACTTGGCCAGCAGGGTATTTCTCGCACGGACGTATGCAGAATGCATTCTTTGGACAACTTCGGCCGCAGACGTTCCGAACAAAGTCAGAAGGAAAATACAAATTTTCTAACTAATGTAGAATTATTAACTCGCTTCTCGTCTATACCGTGTTTAATAAAATATATAAAAATGGAAATATATTTTTAATTTTTTATTATTAATTTCTTTATAAAATTATTTAAAAGGGGATGGCGAAACTGTCGAATAAAACTGATAAAACCGATAAGGTTAAAATAAAATAAAATTTAAAGTATAAAAAGCCATTAAAAAACTTAAATATTAAATACAAATATTTTAAAACGCGAAAATCAAAACTACAATTACCTTATTATAAAAAATTGAATGGAATAAACGGAAAAACTCGGTTAGAAATATAAAACAATATGAATATATTATAGAGGTGACCTTTTTTATACTTAGGATAAAGTGAGATGGAGCGAAAGTATTACCCAAATATAAGAGGCACTCTTCCGAGATTAAGTTAAATTTATCATTTTTTGAGACCTCTGTATAACTTTTAAATCTTTTCTTTTCGTCACATTCGAACGCCGCCTAGTAAGATCCGGCAACACTTATCGACACGGGGACAACATTATTTGCCAACTGGGTCGGCGGCCGAACAGCGATACGGATAATGCATTGTGCAATATTGTAGCAATGTAGTGTAGGACCTACAAATACTCCGCAATTTGTCCACTTCTGTAAAATACGTCCTTATTTTATGAAATTAACTTAACCAAATATTTCGTCAGTAGTATATGTTCGGACGGAAAGTATAATGAAAGTTTCTACTTCATTTACGGAACTATAAGGAAGTGTTACGGCTTTTGGTCGGGCCGCCTCTTTTACCTTAAGTGGCATTTTTAAATATTCTGGTCAACGGCGTAAATTTAAAATCGGAACGTCGAATTTTAAATATGGCGGTACGGTGTCGGTTTCCGCGGCCACCGGGCGACGGTAGGCTCCTAGAATCCGGGCCGACTTACGTGCTATTTTTCGGCCAACGCTCGGCACGTGGCAACGGACGTTGGTTAAACGTACAAAGCTATTATTTTCGTATCGTAGAAAAGTTATTTTGAAAATTTATCGACGGCACGAAAGTTACGAACATATTTTAGCGCGTCGTAGTTGAAGATACGGATATTTATTAGAATAAAGTGTATAATCCGTTGTGTTTAACCAACAGGGTCGCATCCAAGTGGGCTCGGACGCCGACCTGGTGGTGTGGGATCCCGAGGCCACCCGCACCGTCTCGGCCAAGACTCATCGCCAGAACACGGATTTCAACGTCTTCGAGGGCATGACGTGTCACGGAGTACCGGAATACGTGGTGACTCAGGGCAGAATCGTCTTGGAAGAGGGCGAGGTAAGAAGTCTTCCAGCCACCCGCTCCTCTCCCTCCGTCCTCTCTAACCGCTCGCTTCTCGTTCCAGCTGCACGTGTGTCAAGGAATGGGAAGATTCGTCCCCATGCCTCCTTACTCGCCTTTCGTCTTCGGCCGCGTCAACGACAGAGAAAAGGTAATTCTTTCGTCGTCTTTACACTCGCCCAACGCCAACGCCCAGACAAAATTTTTCGTGGTTTTACCTTTCGGTTTAGCTTATAAAAAGGAAAGTAGAGGGGCTAAGAAAAAGAGTAAGGTATTAAGAGGAAGAAGGGAAAATGGGTATAGGAAGGTTAGGAAACTCGTGGGCGTCTGCGGGTATCATTTATTGTATAATAATTGATACAGTAACGTAAAATAAAAATATACGTACCATTATTTATACAAACAATTACGCGGACGTCACAAAACGTAATTGGATACGAACGTTACAATGTAATTGCGCGTACATTCCTAGCAATTCACTCTAGCTGTTGGAAGTATTTCCCCAGTCTAATGTAAACACTTACGATTACGTACGTATGAGTATTTCTTCGTATACACGACAGTGTAAAGCGTAATAAAAGGGGAAATTATGACGTTATTGCGTGTACTTCGCCAGCCACGCAGTCTAATAGTCGGAGATGCTTTCTCGTTCGGTGTACGACACTAAGCGTATCAATATACGTACTGTACAAATATACCTCCAATTACGCGGTTACAATAAGGCATAATAAAGGAAAGAATACAATGTTATTTCGCGTACATTACGGGCTATTAGAAGGCGGCTATACACGATGGGTTAATCCTCAAAGGAGTAACCGTGCATGCCTGATTTTGAGTCATTCCTGGATGTGTGTGGGGGGGGGAAATATAACAGTTTCGGCGAACTGTACCGACACCCGAGTAGAATCGGCCATATTCTTTAGGTTAATTCTCAAAGGAGTAATCGTGCACGCCTGACCTTTATAATTCTCGGTAGTTTATGGGGTACAATTTAACAGCTTCGGCGACCTGTACCGACCACCCGAGTAGAATTGAAAAACCATTTGATTTTCCTGGCGCCTAAACGTGTGTGAGAACAATGTCTGGTGAATGTTTGGAAGAATTATTTTCTATAACCTTATTAACTTTTATTATTTATAACCTAATAAATTAATTTTTCAGGTTTTAAATTATTTTCGGATCAAAAATTATAAATAATTTTAATATTTAGAAAACTTCTCAATTCGTTTCTTCCGTTTTCATAAAACATCTCGATACTCTTTATCAGTTTCTTCTACGTTTTCAAAAATTTATTGTTTTAATATCCAAGTAAATTAAAACACGACAACTTAAGACAAAGTTTAATAAATTCTTTTTAATTATTAAATTATAAAATTAATTTGCGATAATAATGTTTACAATTTGTACTAATATCAAATGTGGTTGACAATTATTAATATATATTCGTCTATAAAATTTAATCCATTAATTTATTTGGTAGTAAAATCGACTCGCCATTGTCTTTCGCTGATAATTGATGCTTTTTAACATAATCTATAGCCCAAGATTTCTCTTGAAATAATTTTGTGATCTGAAATAATTCCATTAAAAAATTATTCGTATGAAAAATTAATTTTGTGATCGGTGCTACCCAAACCACTACTACTACTATTTACACCATACACTTCTACGCATACTTTTTTCCCGCGAGTTTTAATGGAATTTGTTGCCGATAAACATCAGTGGCGTAATAATAAACACAATGGCGTAGCCAACATAACTGGCGCCCGGGCCGCGACACTATATTGGCGCCCCCTCCCCCTCCAGAAACAAATTTTGTTTTTCTTGAAAACCATTTGGCTCCCCTCTGCCAGTGGCGCCCGGGGCAAGCTGCCCCACCCTCTGCCGAGAGGTTTTCTTCGTTTGTGAGCGATAGGAAATTCTGAAGTTCCTCGAGGCCAGGCAGCCTCAAAGGATTAACCCATGGTGTATAGCAGCCTTAACTGTTGGAGATGCTTCTTCCGTTCGGCGAAAGTGGCCGTGGCCTCCCAGGCGATCTTCTTACCGAAGTAGTAGACCTCCGTCTTGCGGGGCCAACGAAGCCCACGGTTTATGATAGTTTGCGCAAGTTGTTGCCGTGCCATCTCGATTTTCACACACAGAAATATCGTGTGGGTAGAAATGTTTCTTTATTGCACGGGACAGTGGCAGAGACCCGAACCCTTCTCCGGAAAACGGAGAAGGTAGTATGCAAAGCTTCCAAGGTCTGTGATTAGCCGAGTCATTTCGTGGGAAGTGTGGAAGAATTTTCTGTTCTTTCTTCCGACAATGTCTGGGAGAAACTGGTAGGTGATACGACCAGTAGTCGCACCACCTACGAGTTTCTCCCAGACGAGTTTCTCCCGGCACCATAAGTTGCCGTTCTTTGCTGGATGGTCTTTCGACTTAAGACCATCCAGCTGCTCGGTGTTTCGAAGCGAGTGACTCGGTATGTTCTATTGGAAGCGGTCCCGGCCACTTGTCCAACGGCTCATTTCCTTCCCATTTCGAACCCGTGGACGGTCGGCGCACGCGCTACGTCCAGATCGAGATTATTCGATTTATCGACGGCGCTTTAGCCGGGATCCGACCGCGGACGGAAAAACGAAAACGGCCATCACCGCTAATTTGCGGGTGGAGGCCGACAAGAAGCGGGCACGGTTGCTACGTTTCCTGGCGTCGTCGGGGTGGGAACGGGATGTAAACGTACTTATCGGGCGGGTGGGACCCCCCGGAGGCCCGGTACCGCCACCCGTTTGCCATTCGGATTCGGGCGTAAATTAAAACCTTTAATGGAGGAACGATTTCAGGCCAGGAAGCCGGCGAAAGTTGACCGAGACGCCTATTCGGGTCCCGTGGACGAGAACGTCACCTACATGGTGGAGAAGGCCCACTATCCGGTCAGAGAGAACCTGGTCTACGCCCAACCGTCGTCCGAGTTTCACTCTCGCCCGCCCACTCGAAGCGGAGGAAGAAACCTTCAGGACTCCACCTTCAGTCTGTCTGGTGAGTGTTTCCCCTCTCCCGACCTCCCCTTGCGCCGACCTTTCTAACGTTCTTCCCGGTTTTTCAGGTGCGCAGATCGACGACAACAAGAGTCCGAGAGCCGGGATCAAGGTCAACAATCCTCCCGGAGGACATTCTACCGGACTGTGGTGAACTTTTTCCCAGGCGGCTCCCGAAGTCTCGTCCCTCCCACCGGGCGCCGCCGCCCGGGATACGGGGCGGGAGGGCGCGTTCCGGTCGTCCCGGGCAGGACCGCCCCCCTATTTATTCGGACGGAGACTCCGACCGCCACCGGCACTTCTCACTCGCCCTTTTGATAAACGCCGTGCTTTGTACCAACGTTTATATATATATATAACGTACGTTTGTGTCTACGGAACATTTATACGCCCACGCGCGCCGGAAGTGGACGATCGGCGTCCCAGCGTCGATCCGAAACCACACTCTTCCTTTTTCTATGTCCGTTCTTCCCCTTTGTTTCGTCGATAGACGGATGCCAATGTTTACCACTCGACGCCTACGCTCAGCGCTGTGTGTAATGCGTATTAACAATAAAATTTGCCGTAATCCATGGTTTGGACTTTCTTTCCCCTCCCCCGGCGACATTCTTCTTTTTAATTGTCGGTAGGGAGAAAGGAGCAAAACCCCCTCCCCGAAAAACGGTAACGGGTGATCGAGCGAGGGTGCGTTTTCCACCCCGGGAGGTGGAATCGGTTGGGAAAAGCCGTGGGGCTTTACGCCAGAGGACCCCACTCCCTCCTCCGGACACGGATCGGAATTTCGGCGCGGGAGTGGGTTTTCGCGGCGGAGACCGGGGAAAGCTGTGAAAGGTGTAAAGTGTCCGAGTACTGGACGTCGAACCGGGTCGTGTTACGTCTCCCGGGTTGTTTTGTCGAGTGTGGTACGAGCAACGAAAAGCGACCGGTCGTTACGTGTGACGATTGGGTTTGGTTCGAGTTCAACTGCCAACGTAAAGGGTTATACCGGGAAGTTGCGATACGGAATAGGTTAGGCCTCTTACTCCAGTCTTCCAGCGTTTAAGAATGGGAGGGTGGAGAAGGAAACGATGAGATGCGGTGGGAACGAGTCACTCGACGCAGTTAACAAAACTAAACCGTTGATTTAAAAACCATTGAAGGACCTGATTGATTATCCTAATCTTTTCGTTCTGCGCCAAGGACGAATTACCATACTTTCCATCGACTTTCCACCCGAAAATTTATCTTACAGAACTAATCGTTCGGGTGGAAAACAGTTCGAGATGATAGGATTAAATCTCGAGCGTTATCGCTTCGCCGTCCGTGGATGGCGCATTACGCTCTTCTAGCGACCTTTACGTTTTACCGATTGGGATTAAAGAGACATATACTCAACTACGTATTAATCGGCTATCACACCTGATATTGAGCTTAACAAAAAATTTAAAATATATGTATGCCGCCGTGTAGTGTGGAAAGGTAAGACTCGAAGTGGTGTACGATATTTTCGGTCGTCTTTTGTCCGACCGGAGGTTTTAGGACGATACTTGCTCGCAGTGTGTGGCGATAAACGGCATTACTAGTGGATGGAGTCAGATGTGGCCTTCCCGAATGAAGTGGATACGATTCTGTCTCACGACGAAATCGTCTTTTCGAAAGTAACTTCAGTCAGCGAAAAATTAACAGAATTTTCGTTCGATTCCTACAACTTTTTATAGAACGTCACACGTATAAATAACGCGGGAAAGTATTGTAATCCTGTCGAGTTCCACCCTCCGGATGTTCGAAAATCCCCACGTTTTAAGTCCCCGAACCCAAAAAGTTTTTAAAAATTCAACGACCGGTTGTCTAACTTTCCCGGCTTCGCCCTATAAGTTTTCCAGGCTCTTTGTCGGACTCCGTGGGCCAAAAGTTATTTTCTTCCAGTTTCGGTCCCGTGTCGAAAAATTTCTCGGGACAAAATGTAAATATATGGCACGCTTTTAAATAATTTATTTCGGCTAGTAATTATTTAAAATAAAATTGCGCGAGGCGCCACCTATTACGAGATTTTATTAAAAAATAAAGTTACCATTTTTTTTTTAAGGCAAAGGCTTAATTCAGAGGATAGAGACGATTTCTTAACAAACTGCAAATTTCGACAAAGAGTGAGGTTTCCGTTAAGTTCTACTCCCGTGGAGATACGACGCGCCACCGCCCGTATCTCCCGTCCTCTCCACCGTTAACCAGCAAAAGTTACTGGCGTAAACACCCCTTGCGTACCAGTTACTGTGCCAAATTCCGATTCTTAATCTTCGCCTTTTCCCGAGATAATAGCCAGGTTGAGGCCGAAGTTTTAAACGCGGAAACGTGTACGTCGGACGTTCGGCGCCGCCTTCCCGTAAGCCTAGAAGTTTGACAATGGTGTTTGGAATACCGAGCATGATTCCACCGATTATCCAAACACTATTGTCAAACTTGTAGGCTTACGGGAAGGCGGTGCCGAACGTCCGACGTACACGTTTTCGCGTTTAAAACTTCGGCATCAACCTGGCTAATAAACGAAATAGACGACAATGCACACGCGCCACCAATCCGGCAACTTTTTTTTCCACTTAATCCCATCTTTCCGGGGAAATAATTCCACGTATGTGTGTGTGTGTGTGTGTGCGTGTCCGAAAGATCCGAAAACCGTTCCTACCGCCAAGTATCTTTTTCCGCATTTTAAACGCAGCGTCTCCGTGTCTTCGCGAAAGAAGCCATTTCGTTATACCCGGCACCCGGCAACCCCAAGACGGAGTAAAGATTAAGAAACGAAATTTGGCGGGGTAACTCGTACGCCGGGAAGGCGGGCATTAAATTTCGGAGTAGGAACCGGAGAGGTGGACAGACAGAGGGTGGGCTTTACGTCTCGAGCGGGGTTGCACTCGAAAGTTTATAATTCGGTGAAAAATTCGTCTCCGTTTCTTCCGTCTCCGAAAGAGACGGAAATTCTTCGTCTCTTTCCTCCCACCCACCATTTTCTGGGAATTCCGGAAGTCGGCAACGCCGTCCCGGACACGTCGGAGGAGAGCGGAAGAGAATCTTAAGCCTGGTACTCATATGCGGCAACGAACGACGGAAATCGTCGACGGAAACAGTTGCCGTTCCGTCGTCTTTCCGTGTCGCGTGTGCTCACATGCGGAAATTACCCTTCAATTGAAACGCGCCATCTACCAGCCGTAAATATAAACAAGCTACTACAGTAGGTAGGCCACGTGCCAGTGGTCGAAAATGGCGTCTACCGAGATTGCTTTGTTATATCAATTAAACTTTTTAAGTTTGCCTTCGATATTATCGCAAATAAAAATACCTCAAAACGAATAATTTGGATAAGAAAAATATTCCAAATGGTCGAAAGTTAGGAATATCGAATACTTTCGTCGCCGAATTACGCTTACTCCATTCCCAATACTTTAGGCAGTAAGTAAGTCTATTTGACATTAATGTTTAAATCGGATAGTAATATAGAGTATAAATGAAATATATTAGCGTATTAGTGTACAAATAAAGGTTTTTAGCTTGCCGACCGCCATATTTCAAATGCTATCGTCCCACGTGATCTTTATGACGACATTGCTAAACGGTCTTCCTATTGGTCTAATTTTTACCTTGCCGCTTTCTGTCGCGGCAAAAGTTGAAAATTTTCAACTTCGTATTCCGTCGACGTCGACGGCAAAAGTGACGTCATTTTGCCGGTCCGTCGACCGTTTCCGTCGTCCGTTGCCGCATGTGGGTACCAGGCTTTAAAACGGGATCGGGTCCCACCGACGTAATTTGCACAGAGGGGATCGGTGGCACGACCGCCGCCGTCGTTCCGGAGAGTCGACTCCCCTACGTAAGGAGCTTGTCGTTTAACTCTCGAGAAAAATAAAAAAAATGGCCGATTTTACCGAAGGGAGGAATGAGCTATTATGGGCGAGTGGGGAAATAACTCGCGGCTGTCCGGCCCGTTTCTTTCTCTTTCCCGTTGGACCCGTCGATCTTTCGTGGATTAAAAACACAACTTAAGGGAAATTCCCTGGTCTGGCACGAACTAATTGAGGTCACAGATCCGAAATCGCTGAAACGTTTATTCTATAGCTAATATTTCCGCAAAGTAAGTAGTCTATACTTTCAGTCAGAACTTAAAACGAATATAAGCAAAATTTCGTCTGGATTGAACAAAGATTGCAGCAGTTATAAGGAACTGAGACACACGCAGACAACGGCTTTTATATTAATAATAAATGAAGATGTTTGTTTATTTGTTCGATACTCACTCCTAGGCCGTTCGATCACTTGCTAGGAAAATCGGCGGTTACGTTAAGGTACTTATCAATTAGATAATGGCGTACGCATCACACCAAATATTGATTTCTATATGCCGATTAATTTCTCTTTATATTCGCTTTGCTACCTTTACGCGTAGCGCTATCTGTTGGCAAAAAATTTAATAAATAATTAACTTTATATAATTCGTACAAGAATATAATCGAAGAAACAAAGTTTAAAATTATTGCGACAATGATATCGCTATATCATTATTGGGATGGGTAGCGCGCAGCACTGGCAGTGGAAAGTGTTACGCTGTTAAAAGTATTTAATTTTTACATTTAATGACTCGGGAGTTTGCATTTCCCAATGATTTAAATGCTCGCCGGTCGTGGGTCGTTGGTTCGCGCATTTTTTCGGCTTTTCGTCACGTTAGTGCCGCCTAAATAGCTATGTATATACATACATAATCTTTTTCGTAATCACTTTGAACAAAATGAACAAAACATATTCTACTTGCATCTGTATTAAATTTATTGCCCCTTTTGCAACGATTAATCCATTCATACTAGTGTTGCAACGGATAGTATATTCGGCCTCGGGCCGAGTAGCCGAATATTCGGCCATACTATTCTGCTCGATTAACGCACGTACGAAAATTGGCGCGCAAACCGCATTATGGCAAGGACCCCGCTCTCTATTGCTCCACTGTCACTACGCTTCGCCAATCCCGTTAATTCTTGGCAGTTGAAGCGGACAGACACGAACGTCGTGGCAGTACTGTATGTGATAAATGATATCAAATGTGGATAACAACGAAATAACCTACACGTGTAAATAACGGAAAAAGAAGAGAGAAGGACCGCGAAGTGAAAGTGTGAAAATAAATATGAAATTGAGTCGATAATAGAACGAGTCGAGGCAGCTTATTGGCGCGAAATTCGCGACCGTCGATGTCAAACAATTGTTGTCGTAGACTTCGGAAAGCTAAATGCTTGTAATGAAAGAAACTTAGCGTGCACGGGCGAAAGCCTGCGGCCGTTCGGGCTATCGAGCTGTCTCGAATTTGTGAAATCATAACTGTGACTTATATCGACATCTTATCTGTCTCGCAGATTCGACGATTCTCGAACAAATAGGTGTGTACGTGTGCTGCTCTTTGTAATTATAAATTGTGAATACATGTGACTAATATTATTTTCTTTTTTATTTTGTACATGTTACAGTAGCGTAGCGTAGTGGAGGCGGCAGGGGCGGCACTTTTTAGGGGGCGACAAAATTTCACAATAAATAATAATAATATCTTGTAAGAATCTGAACCAT